TTACCTTAGCAGAAAGAGGAACAATCATAGCGGTGAAACAAATAGCACTGGGTGTGCTGACAGCCAGGTGGGATGGGAGGCAATGCCATTATGCCTTTGCTCAGCAGGGCAGACGATGCACCATCATCCTTGCCAAGTGGCCAGCATGCAGATGTGGCAGGCTGTAATTTCTTGAGCAAGAGCCTTGAAAAGCAGGCTAGAGCTCCTAAAAGGTCAGGGCCACAGATCTTAATTTGGAGTGTGCTGTTTAAATGAAATAAACTGAAACCAGCAACTGCAGCTTGCCATGGGTTTTTATAGTCCTGTGTCCATGGTTCCATGGTTATTCAAGACCTGTGTGCCAGTTGGCTTGTGTCTTTTGTTGGCACCACATTCATAAGATTTTGTAGCAAAAAACCATCTGCAGTCTTAGTGCATCACATTGCAGTTTTGTCTTCCCACCCACACCTATCTCCCCACCATTTCATCCCCATCCTAGCTGCTATTTCAGAAACAATTAAATAGATAGTTTTTTTCTCTAAGCGACAACTGCGAATGACTTCATAAGCTCCCTCGTGGTACTGACACAACTTGCCAACATCAAATAGCTTAGTCACTGACCTGATTTTAGGTTGGCATCATCTCCTTTCAGTTGTAAGTCCCAGTGCTTGGAGAGTCAGTGTCATATCTTCTCACAAGGTTGCAGATGCAGGTTTTTTGGCATAAAAATGGTGGAGTCACAGCTGGTCACTAATCATACAGTACAGACAGGATCCCTGAAGGAAAACAGCTCAAAAAACCCCCTGAGATTGAATCTATAAAGACTTTATATATCCTTTGGTGTGATCTGTTTGGGATAGGTGAGATGCTGGGAGATACAGGATTGTGCAGGTGACAGCACTTCCTTCCTGGCTGAAGCCCTCTGTCCTGGTTGTGCTGCTGGTGCCAGCATGGACCCTCCTGGGTCACCTGAAGTGTGTGGGGTGGCCTAAGGAGGCACTGTGGGAGCAGAGGGGGATGCCCACTGATGACTGGCTTCCTGCTTCCAATTTGGGTTCCAGGAAGTGCCAAGGAGATGAGGATAACCAAGTAATCTGGATAGAGTGTTCATCTTCTACTAGTTTAGGCAGCAGCTACCGAGCCCACCTCTTTGGCAAAGGGCTATGAGTTACTAGCTGGCAGGTACCATTGCTGGGGTTAGTCTCCTGGCTGTGCTTTTTCAGCTCTTCCTGCTTGTCTGTCTGCCTGGTGGGAGCTACTTTCTTTCTATCAGTTTTACTGCCTCCTGCCAGAATGAAAGCGTACCCTGGCATTTCCTTAAAGTAGAAGCTTATTAGTTCTAAATCAGGAAACACATTTAACTTAGTAGTGAATGTCACTTAAGAATCACTTAGGCCAAAAAACCAGGTTTTTTCCCCACTTATCTCAAAGCCAAAAAAAGTGTCTAACTAGAGTAATCCAAGCACAAGAACCTCGTCAGACACCCTCTTCTGCTCCCAAAGGCCTCCAGCTGAAGATGTCCCTACAATCCCCCTTCAAACCCAAGGAGGATACCCTGCCACTGACCAGGAGCACACAGCTGCATCTCCTTTCCACCAAGCTGGGGAAGCCAGCCAGCTTGTGACAGCTTCTGAATGGCTGCTGCTAACCTGCAGCTGTATCTGAAGGCTGAGAACTTGTACCTGCTGTTGATCTCTGTCGGAGCAGTCTCCCTCCTGCCCAGCCAGGAGGATCACAAACTGCCCTCACCCTTCCTCATCCACAGGCATTGCAGAGGAGGGAGGAAGGTGAGGGGAGATAGAAGCCAGGCTTGGATGTTCCTCTGCTTCCAGACCAGCAGGGATACGTATGGCAACATCTTGACCTTCAACCAAAGGAAGAGTAAAAGCAGAAACCCACTAAACCTCCTTGTCCCTCTTCCTACACTGAAACGCTGTGTTCTGAGTTAATAAATGTGCACTAGTAACAGCTGTGTAACTCCTGCCCATCACTTGCTCCTGCAAACAGAGACAAGCCACTCATTTCAGACCAACATGCAGTCCCTACTTTCTTTTCTCCCTACTTTAGGTCTTACTACTTTCCTGATGCATCCTTTCCTGCAAAAACTCTTTAAAGGTTTTTCCTTGAAGGTTTTCACCTGATGTTATCAAAGGTAATTAGCTAATTGATACAGAATTCACATAAGGTGTTCTGGTTTCTTTTTACACTCTACTTTTCCCAGGCTGTGAACTTTAAGTGATGCAAATGGGAGAATCCTTTATTGTTTTACTGTGTTTAACCTTAGGTGAAACCAAAACTAATGCCTAATTGTTCTTGATGTATCTAAAGCATTTTATTGTTCTTTTAATAATATTTTTTCTTTGTTTCTAGCTGTTCCACTGCCAAGGGTAATGCCTGTAATACGACTCCAGCCTCACTAGGGATTTGACAGCAGCTTTAGTTATTCATAAAGTCCCTCTCAGTTCTATTTTGTTTTGTTGTTGTTATCACCATTTCAGTTTACCAGTCTGGAGCTATATTTACCAAATTGTCTTTAAAGAATTAGTCTCAAAGACTTTAGGCGGAAAGTTAGTTTTTCTTTTTCTTGCAGCTGGGGATGCACTCAGCTTGCATGTGACTACAGCAACCTTTCAAACTCTCTAGACAAGAAAGAGTCACTTACTTTAATAGTGCATGCTTATAGTTTTCTTATTTGTGCTACTTTTGACATTCAGAGATCTTCAGATGCAATATTCACTTTAATTGTTCCTTTAGAAAGCTGCATGAATAAATAAAAATTAGATTGTGTCCAGTTAAATCCTACCACAACTCTGCCATATGCAGTGGATGTCAGGGAAGAATTTAACCAACTATTTGAGATGAGAAAGTTCTACGGTAGAGGCACAACACTGAAGAACTGAAGTGTATGGGTATGCACAACACTCAGTTATAGGACTTAAAGAGATGCAAATAAAAAAAAAAGAAAAATAATTCCTTTAAAGATATATAAAATGAGAATAAGAAGCTCTTCCTTCCCTAGTCTTTAAACATGATGGACTCTTGCCCTGTGTGACTCCTAAACACCTGCAGTGTGGGTACCTGCTTTCAATAAGCTAATCCTGTTTCGGGAAACCATTAATTTTATGTCTTAGCAGTTGTAGAAAGCACAACTAGCAGTCCTGGGAATTTATAGTGTGGGGTTTTGGTGTGGAAGGGTACCAAATAAATTTCTACTTACATGACTTTTTGCTACAATCCTCACTGACTTCTCCCATGCTTCCTTGTAAGTCGTACAATATTATGAGTGTGCAACTGTGTTTTACTCATTTCTGTATCTGCCTCTTATTTAAGTGGCCCTTCAAGAGGTGAGTTTTGATATTCTCAGAGTGGACAATGCCCCTTGCTGAAGAAAAGACAACTTTGTTTTCTCCCTCTGTTGATACTGCAGAGCTGGTGTGGCCGGGGCTGCGGAAACGGTGAGCAGAACCAGTGCAACCGGTTATGCTGGGCTGGTCTTTCACCCACTCGACAGAGCAGGTTATTTTTGCAGCAGTAGATGTACAACAAATTGAAACATTAATGCTGTAGCTTCTGAGAGGTATTTATTCATTCAGATAATTATAATAATTTATTTTTTTTTTTACCTGTACTTCAGCAACCTTTTACTTTGTACTTTGTCACGTAATACATCCAAATATAAAATAGGACAGGTGTACAATTTTTATTCCATAGTTCAGCTTCTTAATTACAGTCTAGTAATTTACAGGCATGTGCTCTCTGTAACTCCTTTGAGCATGTCTTGAAAACATTACTTTAATGCATCGGTAAGTTGGCCAAAGCTTCTACAGCTGTTGTTTAACAACATCTAAGCCAACTATTTTAGACTAGTCAGCACAGAAGTGTGTATTTTCCTTTTACTTATTATAACGTATATATTACTAATTGTAGTCTATTGTATACTACTTGAATGCACACACCTGAAAATATCTTCCCCATTTTTTCAGAGAGCAGTTATTTCCTAAATTACAATAATAAAATAATTTCTTCTTGATTCCCAGAAAACTAGACAACTCCTTCTTACCTGTTGATTGAGCTCTGCTAGCTGCCTATCAGCCCAGCTCATCACTGGCTGCCTTGCCTACTAGCACATTGGATAAGGATTACATAAAGTTGTCTCCAGCTCTTCTTGGCCCTTTACAAATAGTTGATCATAGTTGAGTTGCCAGGGAATGTTTTGTCCTGAATGTTGTTTTACAGCAGGTGAACACTGTAATTCCAGACTCTCAAAAAAGTGAGAGAAATTGCTATTTCGCAGGATACCTGCAGGAAAGGGTGTTCATTCACAGAGGTGCCTGGAAATACTCTGACCATCAGAAAGGCTAGTTGATAAACAGAAGCATCTCAGAGGCTTAGAAGAGATCACCATTTTCTGTTTTGCTACCTAATGCTTGGTAAACCTTGTGTGTGTTTATGTGGGCTGGACTGCTATGAAGCATTACGAGGTATGCAATGGACCAGATGGTATGAAGAGCTGGTCAATACCAAGCTACTTCGGCCAATAGAGTTTAAAATGGAAAACTACACATTAGACCAAAGTCAGAAGGAACGAAGGAACAGCAGCAACAGCAACTGTGGAGAAAGACTCCCAACCCCAAAGATCAGCTTTATATAGCCATGGTGCAGACTTGTATGGAAAACTGGCAGCAGAGCCCTGATGAAGCATCATTATCCTTTCAGGTGTAGATGTACAGTTGTAGCTGCAATTTGGAGGCTGATATGACAGGAATAAAGGAAAGCAAACTTTAGGGGGCCTTATTTTTCTTCTGCATGAAATCCCTCTTACTTGGCTGACAATCCTCTTAACAGTGTATTTACAGTCTTCATTCTGGCACTCCGATTTCTTAGGAACACGTTTTGTGAAGGGACAGTGTACAGCTTCTATCCCTGAGTCCTGGTTACAAGTAAATTGCTCTGGAGCTGTATAAAACCAAATAGGAAACAAACAAAAAGGTTCTCTGCTAATAGGAAAGGTCATGTTTTACCGCCATCTCTGCAAATGCAGCTTTGATAATGAGATGCACAGGGGTACCTATCTAGATACACTAGCTTTGCTGACATATTGGGGAATAAACTGGAGCTGTACAGCTGAAAACAGAAAATGCTGCATGTTGGACAACCTCTCGTTTTGAGGTTTTGTAAAGAAAAGCCAATCTGAGTGTCTGCAGATTGACTAGACATTACGCATTCATGAGAGATTACACATCCATTTCAGATTTGAAATAACACCTTCTGATAAAGTTCCTGTAACCCCTTGGTGGCTTCTACAAACCATGTTTAAAGTTTCTTGTATGTTAGCTCAGTAAGGGTAATCACAAGTTCAAACCTGCTTGCTAAGGTTAAGTTCAGCTGCTTCTAAATGTTTGTTAAAATTCTCCTCTCTGGGTAGCACTGAATTTTGAAGATGGGTGAGAAAGCAGATCACCAATGTAATTTCCTCCCTCAGAGATGTTTGTCTGCCCGTGGAAGACCATGGACAAAATCTGTAGTGAGACTGACCCATCAGGACAGAAGCTCTTCCTCAGGTGCCTTTCTCCTCCCCACCCCTTTGATAGCAAAACATGCAGCAAGCAAAGTGCCCGAGGCAGAAGGGCTTGTGGCTCTGCAGATCAAAGCAACTTTAGTCACTCCTACCTTAAGGAAGGGATCTGCAACAGCAGAAACACCTTTTGGTACAAACCAGAATGAAGGGAAGAAAGGAGGACCAGCATTCTGGCAGAACCCTGCAGATGGGGAGCCAGCAGAAGGGAAGAAACACCATATAGGAAAAAGAATGAAGAAAATAACTGAAAAGAGGTGAATGCTGCAAGGAGTCATGAAGGTAGACCTACACTGTTCTTTTTTTGAGCTGTATGTGATGTTTGAAGAGAAACATGTGGTGTCTTGAGCCACACGCAAAGTAGGCAGAGCTACTTTGTACTGATCGGGGTTGACATTTCCTGGAAAACTCAGCTAAATGCTTTTTCTCTTTCAAAATAGCTAGAGATGCAGTGAAATACTAAGCTGAGGTAAAACAGTGACCATAATGTCCTGCTTCTACACACTATCCACAAAATATCCTCAGGAATGCACATACATACCTTTGTGGAAAACTCAACGCTGGCTTGGTGCCTAGCAAAACTTTGCTCTAGTTGCCCTCCTGCATTTCACAATCAATACACTCCGGATTATGCAGTTCTCTTTATTCTAAATTTAAGTCCTTTGCAGAAGGAGGTAGAACTGATTGCCTCTCAATTCCTGCGTATTTGTTATGGAAAAAAACCACACTAACCCTGGTATGAAGAGGCATCCCAAATTATCATTGGTGACCTTCGTAGGTCATGGTTCCATCATAACCAGAAACAAACTGGAGTCCTGCCTCTTCCCTTTTATCCCATTTCCTTCTTCCTTTCTAAATTAAACTACTATCTCCTAATCTCATCGTTTGGCCTTTCACCTTTATGAAAGCTCATGACTCCTGATCTTAATCTAGCATCATTACCATCAATCACTCCTTTAGGCAATGAAACCTTTTTTCTCAGAAGGATGCCAGGAGCCTACAGATCTTCCAGTCTGATAATACTGTTTTAGTTCTGGTGCTAGTTGGGGTTTTTGGCTAAACTGCTGCCTAGTGGTATTTTGTGCTCCAGCCTCATCAACAGAAATTTGCTTGGGCTGTGCTTCCTTCCAGCTTGAATAATTTAATTGGAAAAGGTGAAGGATTAACTTAATTAAATCAACTGATACTTTGAAAAAGCTCTGGGGATACTGCCAAGTATGCCAAGGTTAATGACAACTATGCTTTCCTTTCCAATGTCTTAATATTTTTTAGATAGTACCACTTACCAGGCCTCACTGCAGCTCCACTTGCATCACTTAACTGTCCATGGTATCTTGTCTCAATGCCCTGTTCATCTACTCCTCAAAAATGGGTTATTGTGACTTTCTGCATCTTCTGCTGAGTATGAACCTTCCTACTGGCCAGCTTTACTTGGCTCCTTCTCATTCATATATTCCCTGGAGCTGAACATCTACCACAATGGCCACACAAAGGAGGGAGATTTATCTTTGTGTATAAATAACATGACACCTTTAAGTAACCACAAATTCTTATTGTTTTATCCCAAGTCCTTTTTCTTCCCTTTTTTCCTGTTTTTTTTTTGTTTTTTTTTTTTTTTTTTTCATAAGGACCATTGAAGCAACTACCTCACTATCAAGTCCTGTAAAAAAAAGGCAAAAATACTAATATAATGTAATGGGACCTTTAAAATAGCCAGTACTCTTAAGGCATACCAGACTGCAATGTTTGAATGCAATTTCTTCAGAACTGTTCCTAGAAAGAGATTTTCTTTGTCACTATGCTGTCCATCTACTGTGACAAACTACAGCACATAATTACATAATTTTCAAAAGTTCTACTTCAGGGAGTGGGACCACTGATATTAATGATACACTGAAAGACTAGAAAGCTGTGAAAGACACAGAAAATGTATTTTCTGAATGCTGCTGAAGCTTTCAGGACAAGTGATGCATTTTTCTGATCACCTCTATCTAAACTTTCTCACTGTTTGTTTGTGTTTACAAAGGTTTCTTAGCCAGTTTGTAGAGGTTTGGGTTTTTTCCTCCTCTCTTTAGATTTTCTTCTATTCAGTGCATTCAGAATTATAACAAGGAAATAGGAGATTACAGGAGACCTCAAGACAGGTTTATGTATTACATGTGGTTAAACAAAAAACACCCTGTCAGCAACTACAGATTTACCAAAATTAGATTTTTTAAAAGTAAAAGTTTTATCTAGAAAGCACTATACACTAAAGGTTTACTAAATTATATTGCTTACTCACCTAAAATTTTCCAGTCAGTGGATACTTTTTTAGAACAAGGTTAGCAAAATTTCTGAGTACAGTAGACATAATAACCAGGTATTTTGACTTGTGGATTTTTTCAGTTACCTTTTGGCTTATTCCTGATAATTTTTTAAAGGTCTTTAAAACTCCTGAAAATCTCATGAAAAAGCACTCTTGAACACTTCTGCTCATTCTAAGAGGATATATGGACCAGAATTGGAAGGCAGTTAATTTGTGAACTTTATACATCTAATACTAGCTATAAAAAAGCTATTTCTGATATTTTTTTTTGTTTGTTTTCTAGGGTTTTGAAATGGCTGTCCTAAGAACCCTGATGGATTAAAAACCAAAAATAAATAATGCACATCTTGTGTTCTCCTGAAAAATGCTGGGCTAACAGCATTAAAGATTGATAGGCTTTTAACAGAAAATGGATACAGCCCTGGTGGAAGCCACACTGAAAGCCTCCCAGCTCTGCCTTCCAAAAATGCTACATCCACAATCTCTATGGGTAGGTTGAAAGGGTCCCACTCAGTCTTTTGAAGAAGTTATCAGTGAAAATGCAAATGAATTCTGATTATGATTACATTTTTTAAAAAAACCAAAACACCACAAAGGTGACATCTTATAGAGGTGCAACCCATCAAATAAATTTGGTTAAGCTATTTTTATATGTTTCTTTTATGATAATCTGTGGCATCCGACTTCACTGAGGTCACGGAGACACTGATGCTTGTACTTTGCCAGTAATCAAACATTTTAAGTGCTTCTCAGCTTCCTTTCAAGCTTAGTCTATCTTTATCATAAGGAAGACTCAGTTCAGCAGCTATGGACCTTTTATTTGTAGACTGGTAACACCCAGGAATTATGTATTACATCATTAAAATATCTGTAATGTTGCAAAAACATTTGTTCTAAAACAATCTCATTTTTCTGAAATAAGAAATAAAACTACGCCAAATGAACAGCGGTGTTCATTAGAGGTGTGACACTTCTGCAACAAGGCTGCTCTCAGACACATGTGAAATGCTTTGTTTCCCAGCTCCTCCTCTCTCGTTAAGCCCTCTCCCCCAAGGCTTCTGTTTAGTATAGATTTTGGAACATACGCAGGAAAACACATACAATTTTAGCATTTTAGTTGCACTTGGTGTTTATCCCAGCTTTTCCCATTCTTTCTTGTGCTAGTAGTTTGCTGGCCACAAAAAAAAAAAAAAAAAAAAAAAAAAAAAAGAGTATGATAAAATTAAAGGGAAAAAGTTTAGGGTAGGTGCTGTTGAACTCTTAAAGAGACAAAGATCAACTTTTCAGGCATGTTGATTAAAGCTCTCTCATCTATAACATATTTAATTAAAAAAAACAACTGAAGCAAGTCATCAGTTGGGGCAGATTAGTAAGCCTGTATCAGTTAATGCTACCTAGGCATTAGATTCCAAATGTACTCATAACTATCTGGTATTAAAAAAAAAAAAAAAAAAAAAGAGTATGATAGCCTTAAAGGGAAAAAGTTTAGGGTAGGTGCTGTTGAACTCTTAAAGAGACAAAGATCAACTTTTCAGGCATGTTGATTAAAGCTCTCTCATCTATAACATATTTAATTAAAAAAAACAACTGAAGCAAGTCATGAGTTGGGGCAGATTAGTAAGCCTGTATCAGTTAATGCTACCTAGGCATTAGATTCCAAATGTACTCATAACTATCTGGTATTTAAAAAAAAGGAATTATCTGAAGATACTTCATATCTTTTTGGAGAAATGCATATTAAAGCTAAATGCTCCTAGAGAAATATGAGAGGAAGACACATCTGTCCATCCTATCTAGTTGTTCAGACGTTTGTTGGGAAGAGTTGGTTGTAGGAAGACTTAAAGAAATTCCAAATGTTAGATTAGTCGTGAAAAACTGTTATCAGTGGAAAGCTTTGGAGAACATCCAAGACAGAATTTAATTTAGAGGTAGGGATGATAATTGACTGTTAATAAAACCTTCTGCTGAAGGATTACTGTGAGGAACAAGTGATAACCATTTGGCAAATCCTCCATCCAAAAGGCTACAGGAGCGCAGCTCTGAGCACGCTGTCCTTAGGGGCCACCTGACACCCACAGCAGGAGGATTACAGCTGGCTGTGGTGAAGCTGAATGCTAGACTTTTTTTTTCCTCAGTTTTTAAAAAAGAGAAATTTCCTTAAGCTGAAAACAGTAAGATACTGTCCTCACCACTAGCCTAACGTGTTCTGCCACTTTTTTCTGTGCAGTTCTAATTATACTCAATATTTGAAAGGTAAGCCCATTAAGCGAAAAACCTCTCTTCCATCTACCCGCTTCCATTGGTCACACATACATATGTGTATATATGCAGACAAGTATATGTATGCATATGTGTGCATGTTTCTATTCTGCAGTGTGGCAAGTTCTTATTAAGCTTTTAAGATATGGACCTTCATTTAACCTTTATATTTCCAGATTGATCAACAGTTGCTCACTGCTGACCCACAACAAACTCCAATATATTTTTCTTATATAGAAAATAGCAAAAGCCTGTAATACCTGAAAACATTATGTAGATTGTATTTTTTCCCCAGAACATCTGAATATTAGTTATGTGGATTGCTTTCTGACATGGAACTTCTGACACTGGAGCTTAAAATTAGTATCTAGTTATGAGTAAGGGGAGGATTTCCTTTGGCAGTGCAAGATGCTGTGCAATACCAGTCAAAGGTCGATGTAAAAGGTATAGAAGCTATTTACCCCAACAGCAGCATAGTTCCCGTTAGGCATTTCAAAATCAGACCAATGAGATGCAGTCAGACACTGAACAATATACCCCTGCCATCCCGTGCATAATATAAATTGCTTAGCTGGCTTAGTAGTTCTCCTTTGCCTCCCTATTTTGGGCATAGAGTGTTGCTTCCAGGACTTTGACCGTTTGGGGCCAGTTCCGGTCAACATTTTGAGGACTGCATTTAAATTTTAGGCAGCCATTTTCTTCATGAGCTGTAAGCACTGCACCTGGGAAGGCTGACAGTCTGCAGTGCCTGGTCTGGTTCTGTGTACTGGTAGCTAAACAAATCTCATACAGTAGCCTTATTGCTTCCATTTCTGAGTGCATCATATCTTCAAATTAAATTTAAACAATACCTAAAGAAGCTCACTTACTTTAAGATCATAAAATGAGAAATTTAACTCTACAGACACATTTCTTTCAGATTATTTGAAAGATCTCATCACTAAATTGCACCAATAGCTCAATGTATGGATGCATTTCACCATTTTCGAAGTGCATGCATCCTGAATGCTACAGGATCTTATTCCCCTCTTGAGAAGTTCCTATGACCAACAATTTTGGGTCTTAATCTACAATGACAAGGTGCTGCCATAAACCAGCACATAGTTATTGGTACTAGAACCATCCTCTGGATGCAATCAGTGCTCTTTGTGCATAAACACAGCTTAAGGAGCAATAAACAAAACCCATTCACTGTACTCCCTCAAAACAGGGGAGATTGCACATCAGTATTTTCGTTAGTCAGCCATCTCTTCAGCAATCAGATAAGCAACTTAATTACTTATGATATTTTTGGAATCTGAAAGCACTGTTACAGCCACCTCTTAGAGGATGTGATCTATCTGCCTTTATGGTGCTTTCATCTGTAAATTCACCTTTCAAATAAAAGCAGGCCACGCACTTGATATACATTTATACCTTGAAAAATCCCAAACCTAGCAGTGATGTTCCACACATCAGTATTAACTGATTTCTGTTGAGAAGAACCACAACCCCTGCCCCCAGCCAAGCTTTACAGGCCTCTCCTGCTTGATAGGTCTGAAGGACACCATAGGCATAATGATCATCAGTGTCTATCTTACCTTGAATTGTGCCTGAAGTACCAAATATTGTAACATTTAACTTGTGTGCACTCCTCATTTCCTCTATCATGAGATCTACAATATAATTCACTCCTTAACTCGGGGAAGTTCATGTGATTTCGAGCACAGATTTCAAAAGCCCTGCAAACCACCCAACCAGTTCTATGTCAATTTCTCCTCTCCACTCCTATCCAACTAGAGCACTGCAAGATTTCTGCAAGATGTTCTAAGCTGCACTGCAGGGAGTCAAGACACTTTTAGATGATAGCAATGTACCAATGTTCATTTGACTAACCTAGTTCAGCATGCAGTATGCAATTATTTCCTACTCTCCTGACGTGGTTTTTTTTCCCTCAGCTTATTTAATTTATCCTTTGGTAAGGATTCTATCATTAGAAAAGACAGTCCACAAGCCTTCCATTATGCTGCAGCTGCTGCTGTTATATTTGTCACAGCAACAAATTAATCTCACCTTGTGTGACAATGGGTTTTGAATCGTAATTGCTAAATATATAATGTATAGAAATTTGATTGCTTTGCTTTTTTCTCTCCTGATGTGGGAAATGTGAGGGCAAAACCTTACAGTTTATTGCATGCTTCACTACAGTGTAATTCTAGACCCTAATATTTCTACCATTCCTATTTTAGTAATGAATGGAATGTAAAAGGGAGGTATATAAAATTAATTGCAGCAGTTCTGAGGGTTAAACCTGCTTAACCCAACCTTCTATTAAGAGAATGTCAACAGAGCATAAATCTTGTCTGGGAGTGCTGGGACATCATTATTCTTCCACCAGCATGGTTAGTTCTAAAACCTGGGATTTCTTCAGGTTCCTGTAGCTGTCACGTACACCACAAACCCATCCCAAATTATAGCGTCTGTTCTGAGCTACTCACTACAGCAGGACCTGACCTGAGAAACTCAAGAGTTTTGTTTTACTTTATTAACTTGGAGTACTTTTAAACAGTTTTTAAACATTTTTTTCCCTCGACCAGCAAGGGAATTTTCAGCCTGAAGTTCTCAGCAGCATCCGGTGAGGCTCTTGCCCAAGTTCTTCAGATACTGTACATCCACAAGGACAGCCTGCTGGCTCTTGCTGTGGCATTTTCTTAATCCTCAGAACAGATTTCCTGGATCTAGGAAATGTAATTCCTGACTCCTTCAACCCAGATGCTGGCAAAAAATGTAGTATCTGCAGTCTGTACGTAACTGCGTGTGTCCCTCTTTTTATTTTCTTTCTAGGAACTGGCCTTGCTGTTAAATTTTTCTAAAACAGTCATATTAATATGTTCAAAAATCCACTGTTGAGTTTCAGATAAAGGATCACATCTGTTCATGAAAATCTTCTTCTCAGCTGGGTTGCAATCTATGCAGCTGCTGCTTACCGGATGGAACAAAGTTTTGTCCTACAGGAATAAGAAAAAAAAAGAATTACGTAGCAAATGCCAAGTCATCAAGAAGTGTTCTCATTTTGCAGAAAATGGATTAACACGGCCTTATCTGACATGATTATGTGGTTTCTGTGTGCTAGCCTTGTGTAATAACCACAGCTATCATTAGGAAGCTATAGAGAATGGAATGTTTTTTCTCTTGGGTTATTATCCTTCACAAAATTGGGGATTCAAGAAATAATGAGGAAGACATAATCTGGTCTTTAACTAATAACAACGTAAGAATAATGAAAGACTAGAATGTATTTTAATAATCTTTGCATTATCCTGTGCTTCCCTGGATCCTATTTGAATATCTGAACTTGAAAAGTGTTTTGTTTTGTTTTGTTTGTTTAGATTTGTTTCTAACAGTTTCTACCTTTCTAGGCAGGAGGATCTGTAACAATCTGTTAAAAAGGAGTTATTAACTGAAGTGGTGTGATGGACAGACAGACCCAGGACTGATGATTTGTGTTCTCACTCCATGAAATGCAGACTTTTCCTATGGCCTTGGTAAGACTAGCCACTGGAATATGCTCTCTCTCCTAATAAAAAGAGAATCCTAACAAATTTTTAGCTCCTTGGGGAGATTCTGGGAGGATAAATATGGCAAATGTCTGAGAGAGACAGATGTGGGAGTGATTAGATGCTTTGAAAATTTCCAGAGACTATGCACTGACTTTATCTATTGAAATAACTTTCAGATCACTTTCTGTAAAATGCATCCAGGCTTCTCCTCTCCATGACAAACATGCCCTGCCAGTATTTCAACAGTAGTGCACGATGTGTCTGCTTGCCCAGTTTCTGAGAGAAAAAAAAAAAGAAGCTACTTGTCAAACTGCAATTGATTAAAAGCTCACAAAAGTGCTCTGGATGCTGCGCAACAATCATACAGATACTTATCTTTAACTAAAAATACCACACATTAAAAAAAGAAGTATGAAGTAAAAAATAAACATAACACAATAAACTAAGAAGAAATAGTAGCTATTTAAAAACAATTTAGGAAAATAAAGGTTTGTTTTGTTGTTGTGTTGTTTTTTTTTTTCATTTAGGAGAGATGAAAGTGATGAAGTTTGGGGGTTGTGAAACCCCAGTAAAGTGCAACGTCCTTTTAAAATATTAACATATGCAATGAAGACCAAAGTCAAAAGCATCTTATGTTCTGGCTGAGGGTGATGTTGTTACGCTGGCCTTCTAAAAAGACTTTTTCACCTTCAGCATCTGCCCTTCCCTCAAAGCAATGGGTAAACACATGCACACACAAGTCTGTAATTCAGAGGGATATCACTGAAGCTGAAAGGACTAAACCAAATGGTTAGAGGCCTTTCAGTCACTCTCCATTTTACTCATGAGGTGAGCAGATAAGACACTTCATCTTGCAACAAGGGGCTAACTCTATGGTACAGAAAGGGCCGTTGTGTCCTTACTAGGAAGTAGGCCAGAAAGAACTCCCAAGCACCCTATGGGATGGTGGAGGCACCCGTTTGCACCTTGCCAGCTCCTTCTGTCCTTCTGTGAGAGACTGATGGAGCGGCACTGCCCAAAACCAGGACATTGTGACTATGTCATGGCCACCCCACCTGTTGTGGGTCCTCAAGAGAAAGGTGGCATCTGGATTTCCTTGCATCATAGCTCGGCATGAGGATCAGCCAAGCTATTAGGAAGCCAAAGTTGGAATACTAGAAACTTTAATAGGATAGCTGGTAAAAGAAGAAAGGAAACTGCTTCAGTACAAGGAGTGCTATGAAAAACACTCCAGCCTTTCCGAGAAGAGCTGGAGTTCTTTCTTCTCACTGAAGTATCCAGGGGATGTAATTTTTGAGTGAAGCATTGTCAGTGCTTTCTTTTAGAAAGTCTGGTTATTAGGAAAGAAGAGCGTATTTTAAGAACAGGGATACAGTTACCACTCGGGAAAATCTTCTGTCTGACCTAGCCATAAATATAGATTTATTAATTTATCATCTCAAGCTTATGCTGACCGAAGGTCAATGCCTGCTGCTCTTACCAATTTCAATGGAAACAGGCTCAGAACTGAAAGGGGTAACAGTTGTGTGAGCCCTTGAGAAGAACTTTCTAAGAGAAATACAAAAATTTGTCCTTATACCAATATTAAAAAGCCACAAGAGCTCTTGTGGAGACTTTTATGGCATCTGAAAACAGCAGAGTGATTTTTTTTTTCTTTTCTTCATGCCTTCTGGCATCAAGGCAAACCTGAAGATTATTCGCAGAAGGAGAAACTTCTCCATAAGATAACAGGCCTCGACAGTTCAAGTAATGAGACACAGAGCCTTTAATTTCTTCTAGGTCACTGCTATAACTATGGCCAAGGTCAATAGCAACTGGAAGTCATTATCAGCTGGTGGCTGCAGTAGTTCATCTGAAATTAGTTGGTAGCCCCAGTGCAGTTTCAGCAGGAAAGATGTCCTTATGATAAAAGCCACTATCACAATGACATGTCTTTGGTTGTCTGAGGAAATGATCTATGTACCTAATGTGTGAAGAGTGAACTTGCTCTTAGACTTTGTCCCTGAAGCTGTCAGAAGGGTATGAGCAAACCACGTTGTTCTGGGCATGGTTTTTGACATAGCCAGCCTAGCATCTATCATAATCACTAGGCTGAGGGCAGAATTCGAGTCTGATGAAATTGATTTTGCAGGTTTCTTTTTAAAGACCTACTAAATCAGACACTTCTTGGCTACTTGTGCTCTACAAATAGCACTAATGGGTCTAGAGCACACAAACTGAATCATACTTTATTAGAACCAATGTATTACCTATTAACCCAGAATGATAATACATTGAAAACCAGAGGCATATTCCTTCACTGGGAGAAACAGAAATTTGTAGGCACTGTTGATTTTTGTCTCTGGCATGCTTAGGAGCCTCAGAGTCAAGGAAATGTCTTTAGCTTGGGAAGCCACTATTCTCCAGAACCTCTAATAATTTCAGATTGTTTACATTTATCTGTCTAATTTATCTTATTATTCCTATCGTTGATGTCATAGCCCCATTATGGTGTAAATATTTTTTCTCCATATTAAACTCACTTTTATTTCAGCAGTGTTCATGGTATTACTCAGATTCATTCTACTCCCCTGCTTCTCACAGTGATCTTTTAGAGATATACTCGGCTGGTTTGGATTGGCCCTAAACAAAGTTATTATATAGTATCACAGACTTTCTAGATTTTCAAACAGTTGCTTGGACATAGTTTTGGTTTCATTCATCTGAAAACAATCCAGTTTGCATGCTCTGAGACTGTGCTCCATAAGAAACAAAATGCAGACAATGGAGGTAAGCTGGAAATAGTTTTGTAAGAGCATTCCTTACCCAAAGTAAAATATTAATGTATTCTACTTGCCACTAAAATATTTAAGCTGTTTTTATTTGACAGTATCAAAATACAGGACAAAAGGGGAAATCTTAAAACAGTGCCTGGCTTCAAACTGTACTTGCAGAACTTTATTATCACTTCACAGGCCTAACTTCTTACCAGTGGCTTGAGGATGCAAATGATCATGAAAAGAGATTCACCCTTAAAAGAACAAAAATCTTATCTTCTAGTTTTATAGGAACAGTATGACAATGTGGTAAGAAACAACACACAAGAAACATGTGGAAGAATAATTGGCAGGATGGATACATGACCATTAGGAAGCTGCAGCACCTCTAAGTGGTGCAGAGAACAGAACAGAGTTGCTGACCTGCTGTTTTTCAAAAGGAGGCACCTCCTGGCTTAACTAAACTACTTCTCCTATTTATTTATGGTGCATTTTTAGTAGCATTCTCTAGGTAAAGACCTCTAGCACAGATGCAGTTAAATCAATATAGCATCCTCTTCTTGTAGTTGGAAACACTATAAATCCTACTGCCAGGATGCTCTCAAAACTAGATAAGGATTATATAATTAGGATTTTGAAGGTATATCTGTACCACCAAAAATCTCTAATGTAAATTTGCCCTGCATCTGAGGAAATAGACTATGTGAAAGAAAAGAAACCTATTTAATGTGCAGCTAAACAAAAACTAAGCTTAAAGAAAATTATTTATACAGAAATCTATTATTCCAATGTAGTTTCTTAATTTGAAGGAAGGTTTATGCCAACTAATCAGCTTGCTGTCAGGAAGGTATTACAATTAAGACTGTGTCAGTACTTCCATCATAACAAAATTTTGTGGTGTTTCTTGCTGAGATGGAAATGCCTGCCTTGCACTGAGAATTTTTATGTGAGCCCTGTCAGCCTCCTGGAAATGAAAAATGAACCCGTGCAGAGGATTTAATATAACTCACTCTGTCTATTTTTTTCAAATGTCTTTCTTTTTTTTTGTTATCTGCTGTATTCTGTCTGCATCAAAGGTGATGAGCCTTACAGAGGTCAGCTCCAGACCTGCATTTTGTCTTATGAACGGGCTACATTAGGCACCAACAGAGTGCTAAAGGTATGAAAGCTTCTTTCGTGCAGCTTGGGTAGGCAAAAAGATAAATTGGAAGGGTTTTGAAGCAAGAAGGTATTATTATGGCATTACAGAGCCAGCTATGCAGCAAGGCAGCCATGACAATTTTTGTCCTCTAAATATCTGGCCCATACATTCTAACTTTACCACAGGTAATACCCGAGTTTCAAAGGGATCACACTTCTGCAAAGCCTTGTGGTGGATCTCTGATTGCAATGTAAATAGGGTAAAAAGGCACAGGCTAGAAAATAGGCACTCAGAAAAAAAGGTCAGGACAAAACTATTTGTAATGGTTCTGAATTACGTTTTCTGCTATATATAATTTCAAACTAGAAAGCACTGCTGAGTTTTATCTGGCAAAGTCCAATTTTTGGCACTTTGGCCTCAGCTTAAGCAAGGTGATGGGCAAGGCACAGTGGTCACAGAAAAGCAAAAGCTGTGTGAGGGGAAACCTCAGTCCTTCAGAGAAGTCTATGTCCTTATCTTATGTGGAATACAGAGCTTACTACTGAAATACCAAGTTTAATCAAGGCAGCTTGCTGATCAGCCATTTAAAAAATGTAACAACTCCGTAGCACTGCAAGGACTTTCTGGCCTAAATGAGGCTCTGACAGTTCCTAGCTTGACCTCCTGCTTCCAGTGATTTATAAAAATGGGCTGAAACTTCTGAGATCAAAGTAGTGTCTAAGCTGCTTATCTTTAATTTATAAACTCCTGCCTTCTTTGGGCTTGCAGCAGTGCTTTTAATGTTGGGTTTTTGTTTTTGTTTGTTTTTCTTTGAGGGAGATTTTCCTGCCACTTGTAACCTTTAAAATGTAGCAAAATAATAATATTTAACTCATGAGCAGCATTTCTTCTGCTGTCACACTGGATGAAAATATTTCCAACAGTGCCTCAGTTAAAATGACACAAGCATCTTGAAGCGGCAGAATGATAAAACACCTTTCAGGGAACAGATCCAACACAGACACCCTCTGAGCTGCATCAGATCTATTTTCACTTAAATTTGACCTAAATAGCTCTACATTCAAAAGGAATATAGCTCTAGAGACATTACTGCAAAATTAAATGGGAGTAAGATGGGGCGGATTTTAAAACAAAACTTCTCACGTGGGAAAACACGAAACTGAACATAGGCTCAAGACAGTCTGAACCTCTGAGATACCCCAGAGTGACTCCAACCTTCCGATAGCTCCAGTGCTGGTTTCCCTTCATCCCGTGACAGTCGTACAGTGTGACGGGGCTACTGTGCGAAATGGCGTCGAAGCAGAACTTCCTGGTGTGAAGCGGCTCCCCGGGGCGGATGTCTTCTCTCCAACCAAAGGTGAAGAGCTAGAAAACCAATAAGGTAATTTAATGATATACAACTAGCAAAAAACGTTTAAAACCACACACAAAGCTTGATGCATTTTTCTCTACTCTGCACGCCCCAGCTGCTGATTAAATGAGATTTTGCCTATGTGCAATTTTAAGTGATATCAACTGCCTTAATTAAAGTGCATTGGTGGTGATGTGGAATATATCCCCAAATGGCACAATCCCTATGGCAGGTAAGAAAAAAGTCTCTGGCAACACAGTTCTGTGAAGAGGAGAGGGGATACATCGTACATTGCCTTTAGTTATCCCATGTAAAGAGCAACTCGTATGCACTAGGACTGCAGCTACCTGGGATTCACAAAGCCTCTGCTAGTGACTTTTCTCTAGCTCCTGTATGGGTCTGAAGGAGTTACCTAGAGGCATTTTTCCATCACAGCATCTTTCTTGTGTTTAATGAACAGTTTCCTTCTGTTTATATGGGACATTGTTAGTATATCGTCTCTCAACTGTCTTTTTCCCTCCAAACAACACACAGTAAATGATCTTCATCTTTCTGCTGCAAACCTGGTGACCTACAGGCAGCTCATTAAAGCCCTTCTTCTTGCTGCCTGAGAGGAATCATGGAGGATCACAGTTAATAGAGGAATCCTTCTCAATCAGACACCAGCTGTCTGAAATGATGCTGTGGCACTGCAATCTTTCAGTCATCAGATGAAGGTGACAGATCTGACAGGATCAAATTTAAAGATGCAGAGGGTGTTTTCCTTTCCCACGGACCAGTCTTTGCAGAAAACAGGCTTCAGGTTGTAAAATGCTACTGAACAGCTCTGATAAGAGCTGTGAGGGTTGTGGTTTTTCCCTTTTATAAAAATTATTTTTTTATGTGTGTGTGTCAGTGCAATTCTTTACCTTTCCACTTGACTTTTGATTTTCCATAGTACAAACTGAAACATAACATTGAGAAAGTGAAGCTCTCTTTAAACAAGCAAACTTTGCTAGTGGAAACTGTTTACCAGTGATGATTCAGGTGGAACTGCACTCAGGCTTGTTATCCAGAAAATCAGCTCCCCATGCTGTGGTCAGACTGCCACCAGCACCACAGCTACCTCATCTTAGGGCAGCTTTGGTCCTTATTTAAGCACCCTGCTCCCTGCAATGTACACTTTCCCTGAAAGAACCAGTATCTACAAATCCAAACTGAAGCTTGAAGTCATATCCAGAATGCTTATCTGTTGCATTTCCCAGATTTGAATCAGTTGAATTTTATTTTTTTTTGACATCTTTCATTTTATGGTCTTTATAACATCAATAGCTTTTAAAAAGACTCATATTTTATCCTATACCATCCTCCAAATGCCACATTTGAGTGGTGTTACTGTTCCCTTCAGTCTGCAGGCACAAAATACAAGTATAAACCTGAATATTTGATTTTTTGTTGTTGTATAGCTGCTCATTGTAAGCCTCTGTTCTCTCTGTTACCTGCTGTTGCTGCCTACTTACTTCTGTGTTAGAGGTTTTCTAGACAGCATTCTCAATCTGCCCTTGTGTCCTGCTTATTTCTGCTTTCCCCCAGAGTGCATTTAACATTTATTTGCAGTAAAATGCAATGAACAGCTTTAACATAATGTTCAGAACAATTCCAGCTTTTTAAAAAGTAAAGTATTTTTCTACTCTTCCTCTCTCTTGGAAGCAGCACCATGGGATCTCTACAAAGATAACTTACCATTTCACAAACAAACTCAGAAGTAAGACTTGGCACAGAAAAAAGCTACGCTGCTTCTTTAGAAAAAGAGAAGCCTGAGATGAATTTACTTTAAGGAAAATAAAAAACAACAAAAGCCATTTCCTTTCTCTTACTCTTAAATCTAGAGCTCAAAGTGATGAATAACAAATACCTAGAGAAATGAAGTGGAACAGTGGCTCTGTAATATAACTACTACAATAGAGATCCTCTTGCAGGACCTTCCTCATCTTTCCCAGTGGGTGGCTCTCCAGATTTCTCATTCCTTGCATGACTGGTGGATGGAGGGGCCAATTTTTGTGGCTCCCTGGATGTTGGCCCAAGACCACTACCCTACTGAATGGATTCATAGGGCAAAGAGAGCTCAAGCTAGCTTTAAAATCAGATTATACTGATCCATACTTTTCCCATTTCTACTCCTGTGTGGTTTCTGAAGACAGTTTGACAGTTAAGATGTGGTAACAGATGGATTTTTTTTATTACCTTCCACTGAAACCCTGTGTATTACTACATGTCAAATGTTTAGACTAGCACATTCTTTTTCCTCCTTCTTAGACTCCTGTTTTGTAAAACAGTTTCATTTTAAAATCAACAAGTACACATTCTCCTTAGTGATACTATTATAAAGTCAACCTTGTTGGTGCAGAAAGAAGTTTTAGGAGTAGGAGGGAGAAGAGAAAAATATTGATCAGAAAGAAGAGATACTTCTGTATACACTCAATTCATATAAAAATCTTGTACTTAAAAATAAAATTGGAAGGCCTACTGTCCTTCCAATCTAATCATTCTATGCTATCCTCCATTATACAGCCAATTCTCTCTAGTTAACATGAAGTCTGGCCAATAGAAAAATTACCTCCCCTCTGTACAATGTGCAACAATGCTACATGTTCTTATGTGAAGTCTTGAGTACATAATGCTCCACTTTGCCGCAACCTGTCACTTTGAATTTTGTTGTTCCTTTGCCCTAAGCTCTTAGAAGCCACCCTGTGTCTGATTTTACAAGAACGGATGAACCCTTTTGTACTCCTTCCTTCATTCCTG